GCCTTTGGGGGTTGCACACTCAGTCCTTCCTTTAAACTGGTACCCCGCATCTCTACTGAGGACCCCGAGTTCGCACAACGCGAGGGTGTCTCGCCCCTGCTCATCCCTGCAGCCCTCAGGGCCTCTCTGCTTGACTTTATTTAGCCTCCTCTGAGTCAGGCACTGGCACGAAATGATGAGCAACACAGATAAATGGTGTGTTCTGAAGTGGATGGGGGAGGAGCCGCCCTCCTTACTGAGGCACGAACTTGAACCCAGGTTCCTCGTGCATCCATGTGGCCCCCTGACCATCAGCAGCAGAGAAATAAAGTGACTTGCAACTCCCAGAGACTCCAAGGCAGCGCTGGCCCTGAGTGTCACATGGTCCAGCCTTCTCGAGACTCCGGGGATGTAAAAACCCAAGGAACAGATGGAAGAATAGATCGCTTAGCCAGTGCCTCAGTTTCCTCATTAAAAACAAGCTGATTCAAGTTCTGTCCTACTTTAGGCATTCGCCTCGACCTTGGGAAAACAAAATTCCAATTTAAATGGCATAAGTGGGCTTGTGGCAATGCTAATTGTCTCATTCAGTGCTTAGGCAGTTTAAATTTAAAATTTTTTTGAAGAGACAGATGATAGAAACCTCATAAAAGAGATCAGTGGCATTTTTTTTTTTTTTTTTTTGGTACTGGGGATTGAATTTAGGAACACTGAGCCACATCCTCAGCCCTATTTTGTATTTTATTTACATACAGGGTCTCACTGAGTTGCTTAGGACCTCACTTTTGCTGAAGCTGGCTTCAAATTCTCGATCTTCCTGCCTCAGCCCCCTGAGCGAGCCTCTGGGATTACAGGCATGCACCACCACACCCAGTTTATTGGCTCTTAATGGGAGAAAGGTCATCTACCTTCTGATAAGAAATGAAAAATAACTAAAATACCATGTTTCACTCGTCAGTTTTGGAAAGACCAAAGTATTTGCTCACAACGGTGGGCCAATGTGGGGTTAGATTAGTAAAATCTCTATGGAGAGATAACTGGTAACATTTGGTAAAATTGCAAAGGCTTGAACTCTTTGATTTGGTGATTCTGATCCTAGGAACTTGTCCTACCCACAGCTGTGTTTATAATACCAGTTGACAGGAAACAACTTAAATGCCCACTAGCATGGGATGGACTGAATAAATGAAGAGCTGGCCACACAGTAGAGTACTATGCAGCTGTGTAAAAGCACCAGGAAGCTCTCTGTGTACTAAAATGGCAGAATCTCAGGATGTTATTAAGTGAAAATGGTGCTGAAATCTTTTTCTCTACCATTGCCCACGAGCATGCCAGATCTTCCCCCACAGACCTGTCTGAGAGATCACCCAGCCTTTTGGGGTCCCTAACCCCAGCATGCTCTCTAGCCCAGCAAATGCTCTGCAGCTGGTCAGAGCACAGAGAGAGCAAGGACCCTTGGAGACCAGTGACAAGTCCCAGAGAGGTCGTCCTGACTTAGCTTTGCAGATGACTAATGCTGTGGGGGTACTTGCCTGTCCTCCTCAGGCCCGGAATCCTCACTCCACAGATTTTTGGTCTATCTTTGGTCCTTTATACTGACTTACTTCTGCAAGACAAGCAGAGCTTTGCTCTCTCCCACCTAAACTGTCCCCTCTGCATTTAGCTTTTTTAGAACCTCTTAGTGCTGCAGGGAGTCTGCTCTGAGCTCTGGGGTTCAACTCTCCTAAGAACACTTGCTCTGAGCTCAGCTTCCAGGGGAAGGGTTACACAGACCTCTGGGACTCTCCCCCATTCTGCAAACTAGGGCGGGCAGCTGTGCCAGGGCTCTGCAGCAAACCACTCAGGTGCCAGTCTTGACCTTGGGATTTCCCGGTATCTGTGATGTCGGCCGAGTTTCAGCCCTCACTCTCTTAAGAACTGGAGATACTACGAGCATCTCTCTTAAAGATCTACTTAATAGCACTTGGCACAAAAGCAAGTACCCAATAAATGTTGCTATTATTTTATAGGCCACTGAGAAGCTAGCTTGAGTCAATCCACAGTGTATTGAGAGGAAATTTATTTCCTCACAATTTCCCTTAACGGAACTTCAAAGGAGAAGGTCATTTGGCGATGCTCTCTCTGCCCAGCAACCGGGCAATGGTGATGGGAGGCAGCGCAGTCTGACACCCTGGCTGAAATCCCAATAATGCCCAGCAGGCTCTCCCTGTCCCCCTTGTGGCAGGAGGGGTGGGCCCCCTTCTCCGCTGGGGCTGAGGATGAGGGAGTCAAGTGTGGGTGGGATTGAAGCCTGGTAGGGTCCAAGGAACTGTAAGTCACCCACTGACATCAGTGGGGTCTTTAATGCTAGCCCTGCGACTCCCACACAGGTGAGAGGCTCTGACAGCCAGGTGTGGGGGGAGTCCCTTCCCCTGCTTCTCCTGGCTGAGGCTTCCTGGTACAGCACATAGACGCCTGTTCTGCCCCAGGCTCAGAGTGCATCTCTGCCACATCCCTGAGCAGCTCCAGGCCTGCTGAGCCTCGGAACTGGGCCCCATCACCCTCTCTCTGACAGGAAGCCCCCTCTGCCGGATCCATCCTTCTTTGCTCTCTGCCTCTTCTTCTGCCTCCTCCAGGACCCACTTCCTCTCCGCCTCCCATAAAGGCACAGAGAGTTTCTTCCCCTCCTTTCACAATCAGACTTCCTGGCTCTGCTCTTCTAATATTCCCCAGATTTATGATAACGATGCTGAGGAATCTGGGAATGGCCAGGGCCTCGGAGGCAGGGGCGTTTGCGTGAGGATACATCTGCTTGGAAAGATGCTCTCTGGAAGTGGAGAATGGAAGTGTCACCAGCAATCTGATCTCTAGAAAAAGTCGCAGATGCAAAAGCAGCTGAGCAGCTGGCTGCTTCCTTAACTCTGGGAAAGCCAGGGGTAGGGGAAGAGGTCCACAGGGGCACCTTGAATTTCCCAGAGAGGCACTGCCCACGTATGAACTGGGATTTATTAACTGTGGATGACTTGAGTCTGGGACAGGAACTCGCGCCCTGAAGGCAGATCATGAATGAGACAAAGTGGCCTGACTCTGGAGAGACTCACCTTGCCCATCTGCTCTGGGGCATTGATGCTGAAGCTGGGGGAACTTGCCTGTCCCGCCCACAGGACACCGACACGCATGCATCACACGATCGCTGATCACTCACCTGCTCACACAGACGCCTATTACACCCAAAACAGACCCGGTATTTCTCACCAGCAAGCCCGACAGCTGACATAGACACATGAAATGTACACACAGATCGGGCCCCAAAGGCAGTTGACATTCTCCACTCACACCTCCCACCACTTTCTTCCCACCCACGAGGCGCACGCACAGAGATGCACAGATACAGAGATACCTCCCAGCCCTGCCCTCCTGACGCACGAAGACAACAGACGATTCTCTCTGCTTTGGGGATTCACAGCCAGCAGCCTCACATGGGACGCTTGGGTCTTGTTCAGTCACTCATACAGACACACGCAGGAGGGATCTGCAGACACACAGGGGCACACTCCAGCCTGGATCCTCTGCCCTTGACTCTCAGAACTTCTAATCTGAGCCTTGCAGAGGCTTCTGGGAAAGTGGCCCTGGGACACGCTCCACTCCCTGGAGGCAGCACCCAGCATGCCCACTCTCTCACCCCTGACTGCACCAGTGTGAGCTCCAGGAACCTTAGGGGACAGGATGACCAAGTTCATCCTGGTTTGCCAGTGTCCTGGAACAGCCTCAGTCCTGGGCACATCTGGAGGTTGGTCACTATCTCAGGGAACCCAGTTTGGACCTGGGTGAGCAAGAGCAACACCTGGCTATGAGGCTGTGCCTCGAGGCAGCTCATTTCCTCTGAGTTTACCCCTCTGTTTACAGGTCTATAAATTGGAGTTGTGGTTCTCCTCAACAAATGGCCTTGAGCATGGCTTCTGTCCTCAGCTGCGGGTCACTGCCTCTTCTTTCCTGAGGCCTCCAGCCTGGCAACACGAAAATGCTCAGGCAGGCCAGGCGTGGTGGCACATGCCTCTTATCCCAGCAGCTCGGAAGCTGAGACAGGAGGATCACAAGTTCAAAACCAGCCTCAGCAAAAGCGAGGTGCTAAGCAACTCAGTGAGGCCCAGTCTCTAAATAAAATACAAAGTAGGGCTGGGGATGTGGCTCAGTGATCTAGTGCCCCTGAGTTTAATCCCTGGTACCTGCCCCCCCACACCTCCGCAAAAGACGAATATGCTCAGTCAATCTGATACACAGGCTGATCTGCTGATCCCTGCCAAGCCCTGGGCTTATGGGTCCAGAGCACCCAGCCCAAAAGCCTGAAGGGGTGGGCAGGAAAAGCTAGACAGGTAAGCCTGGCTCCTGGAGAAGTCTTCCAAGTGGCCGTGCACGGGGTACCACCTGCTCAAAATGTCCTTCACTGTTGCTTATCCTACCTTAGAGCTCTGGTTCCTTAGATTTTGAAGATTTTTCACCTGCCTGGTCAAATGTTCCCTGACCTACCTCCTGCAGGGGTCACCACACCACATCAGAAAGACTTCAGTGGACTGGGGAGTCAAGGGTCAGTCTGACTTTGGACAAAGCTGTAAGCTCAAAAAATGTGATATAGAATCTTCCTCCATCTCTCTCTCTCTCTCTCTCTCTCTCTCTCTCTCTCTCTCTCTCTCTCTCACACACACACACACACACACACACACACACACCTGCCCCTCTCTATGAAGACTCTCCACAGTGATGACCAAGATGGCGGACCCCTGATCCAGGCTTCTATCCTACATCTGAATAGAGGCTGCATGAAGAGAATGCTTCTTGTCCACAGTTCTAACCAAAGTTCCTGGCTAATTCTGCTTGACCAGGGCTAATTCTCATGCCCTCTCAGGGATCTGGAGAGGAGTCAGCCCCCCTGCAGGCTCATAGGGCTAGAACTGGGAGAACCAGGATTCTCCTAAAGAAAATAATATCACTTTTCCAGAAGAATGGAAATGGATCCCAAACAAGAGAAACAATGTCCACTGAAGCAGAGCTTTTTGAACTTTAATGAGTGCACAGATCTCTTGGGGCTCTTGTTAAAGTGCAGATTCTGGTTCAGCAGGTCTGGGATGGGTCAGAGAGTCAGCATCTCGGACAAGATCTCAGGGATGCTGATGTTGCCCCACACAGAACCACACTCTGGGTGGTGAGCACCCTGCAGCTGACACCTCGCCCTGAACAGACTTCATGTTTATGTGACAAGTGAGGTGGAACTAATGTGCTGACGAGACCTGGTGCCACCTTAGTCCTTCTGCATCCCCGGGCCGAGTCACACCTCTTAGATTGCTCCTTGCCATAACTGGTAAGGCAGGCAGGGTCACCCTTCCTTCTCATTCCTATTGTGCAGATGAGGAAACAGAGACTTAAATAAACACTGTGACTTTCCCAAGTCACATCTACTATAAAGGGACTGAGCTTAGTACCAGTCACCTACGGGCTCTGGAGGACAGTACAATTCTCCTGAGCCCATCCCCTCCACTTATAGGGACAGTGCCTCCACCAGATCCCCTCCCACTCTCCAGAGGGTATTGAAGGGCTGTGGGACAGAAAGAAAGAGAGATGGACCACAGTGTTACAGTCATACTTCCCCAGAATTAGAAATTCCCAGGCTGCCAAGCAGAGAGCTATATCAGCTGGTGACGTTTTTTATAGCCTCCACAGCCCTGGGTGACCTGATAGCTGTGCAGTTTGTAAATCAAAGTTTCAGAGGGCAAAGGTCTTCTAAGCATCCCCGTCCCCACCCCCACACACACACACCTCTTGGATTATTTGTAACCTTCTGGCCTTTATCAGTTTTCTCTTTCTTGCTCTCCAGGTGGTTATCATTAACAGAGACCATCACCTAGGGTGGGGCTGATCACACCTGGGATCCAAGAAAAGAAATGTGGTGCCCCTTACCCTTTGCACCTCTCCCAGGGCTGGGCCAGGCATTTGCAGGTGATTTTCAGGAGGACTTTTTGGTGATCTCCAGGCTGGCACAAGTGATCCAAATTTAGAAGAGGCTCCTGGAGAGGGAGGCAGTTCCCCATCTGTTTTGAGTTGAAAAATGTGCCCCCATAAATTATATTGAAGCCCTAACCCCAGCATCTTAGAATGAGTGTGATCTTATTTGGAAGTAGGGTCTTTCCAGGTGTGATTAGTTAAGATGAGTAGAGCTGGGCCCCTATTCCCATGACTGATATCCCTATAAAGTAATGTGGACACACATGTGCATGTGCGCACACACACACACACTCTGAGAATACTGCGTGAGCTGAAGGCAGAGAGATTGGGTGATATAAAGCATCTTATTAATCTCTCTTCAGCAGTATATAGACAAGGCATTAGATTGCGGCACACCACCAGAAGCTAGAGGAGAGGTACAGATGAGGACAACAGAGTCCCCTTACAGGCTTAGAAGGAACCAACCCTGCGGCCATCTTGATTTCACACTTCCAGCCTCCAGAATCCAGACAAATCCTTCTGAGATGCTTTGTTGTTTATCTGCAGAACATGAAAATCCTACAGCACCCAGGGAAAGTCTCACAACCTAACACCTAATTGTTCTGCTAATTGTGATATTACTGTGAGTGAAGTTTTAGGTTCCTTCAGGGCTGGGATGTGCCTCCTCTGTTTTCTCCTCTGGCCTAAGAATTCCGGGCCTCTTTGGTCACTTGGTAAGGCTACATACCTTTGTTGAACTCTGTTTCAAGTCATCCACTGCCGGACTTAGAGTAGGTGCCAGTTAATGGTGTGTGGGTTGCTTTACCTATGCACGTTTTTTAGAAGTCCCCCAAAAGGTATCATCTAGGCAGCAGGAGCCATAGCCCAGGCAAGAATACCTGCACTGTGGAGCCACAGAAGGGCAATGGAGTTCCTAGAACATTACAGAAAAAAAGAGGTCAGAATGTACTAGGAGTGACCTTTTCCAACTTGCTTCACTTAGGCAAAGAAGAGTTTCCTTTGACCCCAGAGGCTGGACATCAAGTAGGAACTCTAGAGAGCCCAGGATGCTGGGCCCCCATGAGACCTGGGTCCAGCAGGAGACAGAGGGTCACCTCAATCTCTCTCCTCTTCTCTCCACTTCCTTCCAGCCTGGCAAAATGCCAAATGGCATTTTATGACCTTGTTTATTATAAGTCACACCCTGATAGAGGCCCAGCTGGCTGGGAAGGGCACATGAGTCACCAGCATCTCCATGGGAATCTCAATCACAACAGCCCAGCCAGGTTCCTTCCAATCCACTGCCCCCACCCCCAAAAACACACACACAATCATGTCAGCTGAGTGGTCACACCAGGGCTGAGCCTGGCACAGGACAAGGAAAGGCCTGCTGAAATGATATGTCCTCATCCACCACTGCTTCAGGATCTTGCTCCTCTCTTCCCCTCAGCTCTTTTACTGAACCATCCTCTGTCCAGATTCCAGAGGGGCATTTGTCCCCCAGCCCAGTCCTACAGCTCCATCCACCATGAATCTTTCTGGCTTTGAATGTGAATAGGGCACTAAAGAGCTGGGTGGCCTTTGTCAAGTCCCTTCACCTCTTTGAGCCTCGGATTCCTTAGCCATATAAGGAGGACAGCCATGACACCTCCCTCATCAGGTTGCTGAAATGAGATGATTTACATCACATGCTTGGAATAGCGAGTGGCATTGGCAAGTGTGCACATTAACTGTTCTATTCTGATGGCGGTGATGAATGTGTTGGGCTTGTGAGCATGGCAGGGGGCTTGTTCTGCCACCAGAATGCACATTCCAATCTATTGCAAAGCTGAGAAATGTGACGTCAATTTTACCTGCTTTCTTGGGATTTTGCCGCCTGTGACTTTTTCTTGAGGAATTTGCACTGATACAAGGCAACTCATTCACTCTACAAATATGTACTGAGCACCTGCTAAGGAGGTGACGCGTTCTTGGCGGTCCCAAGAGCAGAACGGGGAGGGGAGGGGGATGCAGAGGCAGTTCCTGGCAGCTGCCCAGGCTCATATCAGGAAAGTTCCTTTCATGGGCTGGGGTTGTAGCTCAGTGGTAGAGGGCTCCCCTCACATGCAGGTGGCCCTGGGTTCAATCCTCAGCACCATATAAAAATAAAATAAAGGTATTGTGTCCATCTACAACTAAAAAAAAAAAATTAAAAAAAAAGAAAGTTCCTTTCATGTTTCACTGAGGTCATGGCAGATACTTTGCCTATGTCCCTATAGATTGAGCCTACCATGGCCTGGAGATGATGTCCTGGAGGGGAGGCAGAAGAGGCCTCTGCCCAGGAATTAGGACCAGCATTGGGCTTTGGATCCTAGCCTTATCTCCTCCAATTCTTATGACCTTGGGAAAGTCAATTAGCCTTACGGAGCTCCAGTTTCCTCCTCTGTTAAATGGGCATGATAATACCTGGCTGAGAATGGCAGAGCAGCTGTCAGCTCACAGGTGTGGAAACAAGCCTCTCGTAACTATATTTCCCCTTCATTCCTTCATCCATCCATCATCCATCCTCCATTCCACATTATTTTGATTAGCTACTATTTTGAGTAACTATAGATGGAACTGGGAGAACAGGGGAACCGAGAGAGGCATAGGAAAGTGCTGATCACCAGGACTCAACAGTGAAGGGACCTCTGTCTACCCCCCCATACTCCAGATGTCAATGTCAGGACCAGTAAACAGGAACCACTGGGCAAATTGTCAGGAGGGGCTGACCTTTCCTCAGTCCTGCCCAGTTGGCCATGGACTCTCTGGTCTAGGCTACAAGTAACCTCTGGGTGAGTGGCCAGGGTGGACTTTCCCTCTCTCTTGGATCCCAGCCAGCCTTGCCAGCCCTCCCAACTGAACTCATGACTCTGTTTCCCATTTCTTGGCAGGAGACAGATTCTGAAATAAAGGGGCAGGAGGGTTCTGGATAGCATCCTCACATACTCACACTTCAGGCAGGAAGCGGGAGGGTGAGGAGCCAGCCACATCTGGACCCTCCTTTCAGAAAAGCAATACTTGATATGAATCTCCACTTCGGACCTCTGCTTAGCTGTCTTTGGACAGAACTGGAACAAGTGGACACTCTTACTGCAAAGAAGCCTGGGGAAAAGGGCGCAGAATTCTCATGATTGACGCAGACCAAGGGTCAGCAAACTTTTCCCAGAAGGGAGTAGATAGTAAATATTTTTGGCTTTGTGGGCCAAACAGTCCTTGTTGCCAGTACTCAACTCTGCCTTTATAGTATGACAATAATCATATGTAACACACAAATGTGTGTTACTTCAATAAGACTACATATGGACACACTTGTTTTCATATAATTTTCGTATGTCACAAAATATTATTTTTATTTTCTTCAGCCATTTAAAAATGCTAAAAACCATTTTAGCTCATGGGTCCTAGAAAAACTAGGGAGTCACCTGTAATCCCAGCTACTCAGGAGACTGAGGCAGGAGGATGGCAAACTTGGCACCAACCTGGGCAACTTAGTGAGACCCTGTCTCAAAACTAAATTTTCTTTTCTTTTCTTTTCTTTTTTTTTTTAACAGGGCTGGGGATGTAGTTCAGTGGTAGAGCTCCCCTGAGTTCCATCCCCAGTGCCTCTGTCCTCAGGGAAGTCAGATTTAGCCCTCAGGCTGTAGTTTGTCCACCCCTGGTTTAGACCAATCATAGACCATATCTTGGGGGTGGCATCTCCCACTTCAGAGAAGAACATGAGTGTGTGTGTGTGTGTGTGTAGTGAGATGAAGGAGGTAAGCAGTGTATTATGAAGGCACTAACAAGGCTGATCACTGCAGGATTCGAATCCACAGCCTCCACTCTGAGCCTCCAGGCTGTTTTGCTCAGCACCCTCTCTGTGCCATGGTGGTAAGCAGGAGGAGGCAAGTGATCGGGCCTCAGTGTCATGGTGTCAGTATTGTTATCATGATGGCACACTCAGCCACATGCCCATATGCTCCTGAGGCATTCCAACAGCCTCTTTTCCCAGGGCCCCAGATGGGAGATCCCAGGAGGGGGTGGGGGGAAGTGTCCCCAGGAGGCAATGGCCTGCTGTCCTCAGGAAGCCTGAGCTGCCACTTCCCCGCCTCCCTCCTGGTGGGAATGCACTTCCCAGAGGTGGAGGCCGGGCAGGCGGGGGCTTCCCTCTGGTACTGGGGCAGGATTTCCTTTCCCCCTGGATTTCTGTAGACCAGCACATGGGTCTTATTCCCAAGGTAGCAGCACACCCTCCCCCACCCTGACTGCCTCCCCCCCCCCCCCCCCCCCCCCCCCCCCCCCGCTCTTCCCTTCCTGCCCACCCGAGCACAAAGGAGATTTGGGGAAGTATCAGATAGTGAGGAGCAGGAAAGAACCTGAAAACTCAGAGGCCTCTTTCTTTGAGCCATCAAGAAGTCTAATTTCAGGCTGGGGCTGTAGCTCAGTGGCCTAGCACTCACTTAGTATGCGAGAAGCTCTGGGTTTCTTCCTCAGCCCTGGAGAAAAAAAAAAAAAGTCTTGTTTTAAAGCTCCTACCATAGGATTTATTTTTTAAAAAATTCATTCGGTTCCCACTGAGCATGAGCTAGGCTCTCTTCCAAGAAGTTTCCATTCTCTGACTGATAGAATCCTCCAATCGGGAGAGGTAATGTCATTAGACCCATTTCACATGGGTGGAAACTGAGGCCCAGAAAGTGTCAGAGCCAGGATTTAACCAAGGGCTGACTGATGCCAGAGTCCCTTCTTGGTCTACCCAAGCTTCCTTTGCCCTGGGAGGAAGAGGTGACTAAAGGATAGGGGTTCACAGATCAGGGTCTGGTGTTGAAGAGGCTTGAATGCAAATCCTGGATTCTGAACTGCAGTTTCCCCTTTCTGTTAAAAAAATTAAAAAAAAAAAAATTCTATTCTCTTCTCCAGCACCATGATCTCTCCCTGGGAAACCATTATTCTCTATGGTTTCCTTGGTGATGACTCCATCCACTTGCCGACTGCAGGAGTGAGCTTGTGCCCAGGTCCAGCCAATCAAAGCATCACATTTTCTTATCCTAAGTGATGAGGTCAGGAATGACCACGTGACCAGATCCAACCAATGAGAGTTCGGTTGAGAACTTCTGCTGGACCTATTCATCAAGAAAGTTTCTTTTTTTGGCTTTTTCATGGAAGCCTGAAGCTGCTAGTGTCCATATTGTCATTGCACAGAGAAAGCCTGCGTGGGAGTGAAGCAAAGGAAGAGGTGGGGAAAGAAAGAGAACTTAGAAATCTTGAAGACTTCAACTGAACCTCTGGTTCCCACCATGCCTGAATGCTCTGAAGATGACCCTGTGTTGCCTCACAGAAGCCTCTATGTGTCCTATTCTGTCCAGGCCAGTCTGAGACATGTCTCTGACACTCTCAGTCAGTAGACCGAAAACATGAGGCCAGTGATTTTTCTCAAATGAATAACTTTTCTCAAATGCTGGATCTCAGGGCCTGGCATAGAAGTTTCTCAACCAATATTTGTTGAACAAATAAAACCAAAGAGCTTTGATTATAACATCCCCATTTTGTGGGAAGTTGGGAGGACAAAGTTCAAAGACGACCATCCAGGCCTAACCAGAGGGCTAAGCACGGTGGGCATCAACAGCCCCAGTTCTGGGCCAGGATCTCTGCCCTCCATCAGCTTTTAGTCTGGTGGACCATCCTCCCCACTGCCCCAGGAAGATGGCAGTGACCAAAAGCCATAAATGTAAACCACAGTACTCAAACCTGCAGGAACCACAACCCCTACCCTCTAGACTCTTCCCTATACCTTCTGGTCTCCTCACCTCCTACCACAGAACACTCCACTGCCCTGACCTCCAGCCACTTATTTGCTTTTGTTAAAAGCCAGAGCACAGCCTTCACCTCCTTGCTGGTGAGAATGCTTGTCTTAATGCTCTGCTTTGAAGATCATGTCCTACTTTTGGCCACCCTGTAGACTTCTGAAGCTAGCACTGGACACTACCTCCATGCCCCAGGCCCACTGTACCTCTCCTATCTTCCCTTCACTTTTCTGGCCCTCCCTGATCTCTCTGCACCTCTTCAGGTCATCATGTGCCTCCTGGGTTACCCCCCAAACCTTCTTGCAGATCTGCCCATTTCCACCTTCCTTCCCAGTCATCCAGGTGACTTTTCAAGTGATGGAAACTCTTCCAACGCTGCTGATTACCTAGGGTCAGGCCCCTATTCACATGGTAGAGGCCAGAGTTGTTCGGGACCCTCCTAGATCTGGCCCTTGCTTAACCTTCTAGCCCTGTTACCTCCAGGGCCAGGTATGATACCAGGGCACAAAACTCAAGGAAGTGCCCACTTTCAGGTTGTGCAAGGGCTCCTGGTGCCTTCCCCCGTCCCAGCTCCGTGCACAACCTAGTGCTGCTCCAGCTGGGCTTCTCAGGGCACTAGGCTTCTGTGCTCTTGTTCTTTTGCTTTATAGTGCCCTCCCCACCCCCTTTACTGCCTGCCCAGCTTCTCCTTTTCTCCTAAAGAGTCATCTCAAGTCACCTTCTCTAAGAACCCTTGCCTGAACCCTCCTGGTCTGGAGTGGTCGCCCTCAGCTCATCACACCTGCTTCATCCTATTCTCCACCACTGAACTGCTGCCCTATGAGAGCAGGAACCAAGTCTTAATTTGTCTTTGTTGCTGTTGCATGTAAATAAAATGTTGATGCAAAGCACTTGGCTCAGTGTCTGGCTCCTAGTGAAGACGCCCTTGGCTGGGCTGAAACTATAGCTCAGTCTTAGACTGCTTGTCTAGCATGTGTAAGGCCCTGGATTCAATCCCCAGGACCAGAAAAAAAAATATGTCCTTGGCCACAAGGAGCAGAAAACCTTACCCTAGGGGCTTAGATGGCTGTAGCTATGCAGAACGTATTATCTCACCTAATAAGAGGACCACAGGGTTGGTTAATTGAAGACCTGAATAACTTCCAGATCCTTCCTGTTTTGCCATCTTCAGAATGTGAGCTGCATTCTCAAATGATCCCTTCACGGTGTAAGAAAGGCCACCACAGACCCAGGTCTCAAACTCTCACACCAAGACAAGAAGGAAGCATCGCTCATTGTATTTCATTTTGAAAATATAAACTTTCCCAGAATACCCCTGCCAACCCAGATGTTTATTTCTCATATCTCATTGGCCAGGATGGCATCACATGCCACACCTGCACAAGTCTCTGTCCAGGGAAGTAGGATAAGCCAATTGACTTGAGAGTCAGGCCCCTAGTCACTTGGCAGAGGGAAAAGTGTCCAAACCCATTGGAAAGGAGGCTGGCACATAGTAACTGCAATGAAGAGTAGCTCCACTGTATTGGTTTTGGGATTTGGACAGGCATGGTTGGAGTAGCATAACGAGCTCTGGGTTGTGAGTTGATGAACAGGCTTCATTCAACCATCGAAGATCTCCTATTATTCCCCACTTGTGTGTTTTGTGCTTGGGTGAGACTCTCTTTCCCAAGCTTGGGCTTTTCCAAGACCCACATGCTCTACCACCTCTGGCCCCCACCCAGTCTGCTGCAGAGCTAGGCATACTGTGGGCTCTCAAATACAGATCCTGGAGCTGGAGAGTCAAGATACCCCAGCCCCACAACATCCTGGAAACATTGTTCCCCATTCCCAAGAAGCACCCCCAAAATCTATCTCCCAAATCCTGTTTTCCTTGTCACTTTCAATCTGGGTAATTAAACTCAACACCTCCAGGGTGATTAAAAATTAATCTGGCATTCAACAGGCCTGGAAATGAAATTCAGTGGGAAACACACTTGGGGAGCTTGGCTAGATGTAATTAGAAATTAGTCCTGCTGGGGGGAAGAAAGGTAACTAAGGAATTGTCACAGCCACGGAAGGGACAGCAGGAAGGTGAGTGCTGAGGTTATGGTAACTTCTGGGTCTCTCATTACCTACTCCTACTCAGCTGCTGCTGATCGATTGCATTGCAAAAGCACTTGGTTGACAATAGTGATTTTACTTAATCCGTCAGGATTCCCAGGCACTGCTTCTGCCGAAGCTATCTCCACTCTGCTGTCTGTGCAGTTCCCCTTCCCCTCCCCCTGCTGACAGCCCTGCCATCCCTTCCCTCCCCATCAGCCTTCCCATCTGCAGCCGGC